ATGATTAGAGCAAGACAAACTTGTTTTAATGTTCATGAGACTCTTGTTCTAAGACCTGAAAAGCCTTTTTCATAAATATGATAGAAATATAGCCATTAACCATGTGACAAATCCCCTGAGGTTTAGGCTATCTGGTGACCTTTATGAGGGCCAAACCCCTAGGTTTGGAACCACTAGACTAAACTGTGGTCAGTATAACAAGAGGTCTGGACTCTCAGGTGAACATTTCCTGCCTTGTTGTGTTTTCCCTCCACAGCTGCGGCCGCTGGGTGAAAACCCACAGACACTGTCTGCTAACATGCTAACACGCAGCTGTCAAACCTGCTAAGGTACAGACACACCTGTTTTCATGTCAGTTACACACATTCACAATAAAACAAGTGATTATGAATATGCTGGAGAGTTTTTATATGAAATTATCTTATTTAACAGTGGTGCCAAGAAACCTAATGCATTTACTCCAATACTGTACTTGAGTACAAAAGTGACTTTACTTGAATATTTACAATTTATGATACTGAGGAATCTGTTATTCAAGATTCAACGTGTGACTCAAAAACTAAAAATAAAGTTGTAGAACTAAAGGCTGTTTGTCTGTTTTGAACCATAAAATTGATGTTCAGTCAATCTACTCTTAATTACTGAGACATTCTACACTGCCACGTTTCTGCCTGCATCATAAACAGGAAGTCTCCGAACATTTAGGAACTTCCTGTGCCACTGAGAGGACTCAGCGTAATCACATTCATATCTGTTCAAACTCAGATTAATGTAAGTTCATAATTTATATTCAAACTGCACATCTGATGAAGTTTTTCTACCAATTCAAACTCAAACATTTTCGTTGTGCTATGCATAATGACAATAGAGATTCTTGACTTGACTTGAAGGCCAGCAGGGATCAGTAATACACCCCGACCTCTGAATGACTGGCAGCCAGAGATGTATTGAGGCCACATTAATTTAGTTTTGTGGATTGTTTAAAAGTTCGTGCCCCTGACAAAATCAAAATATATTGTAATTAGAATGAAAAATGTCTAGCCCTCCCTGGTAGGCTTGTGGTTAAGGTAGCACTTTCGCCGCTGCAGCCCGGGTTCGAATCAGGGTCGCGTCGGGAAGGACATCCGGCGTAAAACACGTGCCAAAAGTCAACATGCGACTCCTCAGTGTGACGATTCGCTGTGGTGACCCCTAAACAGGAAAAGCCGAAAGTGACTTGCTTTCTAGAATAAAAACAAAACCTTATCCTAACCCCAAACCACCGGGAGGGGGCGCCACAGTAAACAAGTTTTAACAGAGGAGACGCATCTCTGAGAAACGCATAGCTTATCGAGACAACACCGGTATATTGAGGTATTTTAAAATAGCTGACTCCTTAGAGCAATTTATAATCATCTGAGTTTAACGTGAGAAGTGAGGGCACCGCCCATTAAAGCTACCCTGTGTAACAAATCTAACACACCACAGTATGTCGAAGGTGCAGCGTGAAAAAGGTAAAAACTTTAACTTTATTATTTTATTACTTAAACTATTTCTGACCTCGTGTGGCGCTTTGCTCGTGATACTTCATATTTTAAAAGTTACAAACGAATCGGGTGGAAGCAGCATGGAAGGGAAGGTAAATAAAACAAACACCATTTAAATTACTACTCAGTCGTGTGAAATTTATTATCACTGTATGAATTAGTTACGGCTTTAATGATATTACATTTCTGTTTAGTGTACGGTCGGCCCGTTATTTGTACAAAGCCCGTGAGTATAGCCTGTCGTGCCACATTTCAAATTGTGCTGAACTGACCAAATGCTATAAGTTGACGTTTATTTTAATATAGACTGCCTGGATATTTTGTGCACGCTGGATTTATCAGTGTTTTCTACTGACGCCAAAAGATACAAAAGTAGCCCCCCTCCCCGGTTTTGTGCAACTGTGCTGGTAGGTAAATTTGTCTTAAGCTGTCATATTTGTGTGACGTTATCGAACATCGTGAGGTTAGCCGTCCGCCATTAGCTAACTTTTAAACGTAGACGAACACAGTGTCAACTCTACTTTCTTGTTTTGTTTGGTTTTGTTACACAACTACTATTCAGTGAACGTATATAAAGAAGGTTTGTTTTTATTTGTAAAGCATTATTGTGAAATAAAATCTTTTGCAGTAGCTAGGTGGCTAATGGTTAACGCATACGTTTAAAGTTGACCGGATGTAGCGTCATTTGGTTTTGCGGTGGGTGGGGCCTGTGAGCTGAGGGGAACGTAAACAGCTAACATGCCCCGTCACCGCAGATTACACACCTGCACCTGGTGTCGGTAAGCGTCATCTGATCTGACAGAGTATTAGTTCTGGTGTGAACGCGGCGGTCAGCGCCGTATTTCGGGTAGCCTCGGTGTCTCTAGGGATCAACAGTTAACTTGGCTAAGTTAGCTCGGAGAGCTAAGTCGGGGCTGCTAGCTCAGGGAGTTGTGCTGGAGCAGAAAGCTGCTTAATGCCGAGCCGTCAGCACCATGGAGATCTCAGGGGTTCCGCCAGGCTTCTGCTGAGGTGGGTGTTGCTGTGAAGCACTACAGTCAGGATAGCGCTGTATAACAGTGTTATAACACGAGCACTGGCGAGTTCTCTCAATCACCGGCTTGTTGTCTGACTCAGCAGCATGATGGAGAACTTAAGCACTTGTTTGTCTGAGTATGACTGTCCTCAGTGACTGAACTCTGAGCTGCTAACAGAGACACACCGCTCCTTGTTACTCAGACATACTGGCAGACATTTTGACACTTATTTCCTGTTGTGAACTTGTGTCAGCAGATACACTTGAATCCACACTGCTCTCCATCCTGTGTCGGTATGGGGGAAGGTGCGGCAGCTGCATTCTGTAGCTCAGTCAGGCCTCTTGTACACATGGCAGCAGTATGTGTGGATCACTGAACAGGCCCCGTTTAATAGACTACAAAGTGACTACAGAGGGTCACAGAGATCAGGAAATCTGTCACTGCAGGTCAGTAAGATCTGACAGTTTCCATTTCAGTAAGAGAAGTTAGTGTGGTGTGTATTTTCAGGGCTTTTAGCCAAAAAAAGAGACTAGACAGCTGCAAACAACCCAGTGTGGTGATGGTCACGTTGTAGGATTTTGCTTCTCTTTTCTTTTTGCATCTGCCTTTTTTCGCTTCGTCTCTTTGCAGGTGATTCGATGGAGCCAACGGAAACTGTGATGGTCCATTTCCATTATTGTTTTGTAATCAAGGCATATAATTGATAATGGAAGCAGTCATTAGCTGCAGCTGTACATTCTGTGTGGTGTTAGCTTGAGATTTATTTGTCAAACAGCATCTTTAATAATGATCCATCCTGACTTCTTTATCTTCAGGTCCGGTGTCTGCTGACTGTTTACACAACAAACCGATATAATCCTCTGTCCCGGTTGGAGAGTGAAGATTTTACCTGACACGTCTTCAGGCAAGAAGTCGACCAGAACTGTTTCAGCCTTTACTTTTTATATCTATTTACTTCATGATGAGTGATTTGACCTGTGCTGGGAACGTCATGTAAACAGGAGCATTTGCTTTGGCGACCCTGATCAGGCGGCGGGCACACTGACAGAAACCTGGTCTCTGCTTACAAAGACCAGATCATCGGGGGTTGGAGCTTCAGCTGCTGCCTGTGAGTGTGAAGTCTGAACTTGTGACCACAGCGACCCTACCTGGCTCTGAGGCTGTGTTTCTGATGAGCACCTCTGTGTCTCGATTTATTTTTTTGCACTTGTTGTTTGTGTAAATAAGGAGCTGGTGTTTGTTGTGAAGCTGCCGAGCACTGTTTCTTCAGCATCAGTCAGCTGATGATGGCGGAGTCCAGCCTGGAGCCGGCGGCAGCATCAGACCTGCTGATCGACCAGACTCTCTGCACAGAAACTGTCTCCAAAGAACCAATGGTAACCGTGACGGCAGATGGGCTGGGTAGTACAATGGAGTCGGACGTCGGCACCCAGGTCTCGAGCAGCAACGAGGTCCGTCCTCTTCATGCTGTTGTCCTGAAGGAGAAAGAGGAGGAGGAGGACACACCCACGCCCCCGGAGTCTTCATCACTTTCATCTGAAAATGGGACGATAACCTGCATCACCACAGAAGAAGAATCGGTGTCAACTCTACTCAGACTGATCAAGACCGAAGGGGGGCAGGATGGAGGCCCAGGTAAGAGCTCAGACCTGGTCCAGAGAAAACCTTCCTGTCTGCGCCCTCTCCCTCCTTTTCCCTGACATGTCTCAGCTGTGGTAATGCCTATGCATACACTCAGTGGTCAGTTTATTAGGAACACCTGTCTCAGTGTAATCCAGCAGTGAATCCTCCTCCACGAAGGTGATCATCAGTTTGTGTTTCAGAGTGGTGTTGATTCAACTGTGTGATCGCCCTGTGAGCTGGAGTGGCTGACAGGTGTTTATTTTGTCCATCCCAGGCTAGGCTAAGTACCAGAAATGCCTCTCGGTAGAATACAGGTCAGCAGCAGCGCAGACTGCTAACCTGGCTATACATGTAGGTTGATAAGTCAGAGACGTGTGCTGGCACCTGTTTACTGAATCAGCCATGTTGCTCTGACATTGCTCTGTGACATTCTGATTAACATTCAGGACGTGGAGACTGTGGAGCAGAGGAACGGGCAGCCAGTCATGAGATGCCTTCAATCAGCCATTGTTGTTCTGTGATTGGCTACAGGCCAGTGTGAGCAAGGCCAGAGACAGAAACCGAGTAACAACTAGTGTTCAGATATTTGGGCACTGGCAGCAGCTGTGGCTGTTCATTGACTCTTCAAAGACAAGTTGTACTGTTACCATCTTCAGGATATCAGAGACTCCGTGGTCTCCAAACTGTCCCTGTTTCTGTGCTGCAGGTCTGGAACTGGACCTGGAGGAAAGCTCGTCTGTGGCGACTGGCAACGGATCAGAGGACCGGCAGGATTCCACAGACTCGGCATCCTTCTCCATCCCCAGTCTGGAGCTGTCAGATGGAGTCCTGGCCACAGGAAACTCCCTGGACGTGGAGGATGGCCTGTCCTCTTCCTACTCTGCTCTGGGTGTTGAGGGCTGCTCTCCATCCACTGAAATTCCTGGTCCCAAGGATGACGAGACACTGGAGGTAGCAGGTGAGACGTCCTGCCAGGTGTTAGTCTCATCTCCGGCTGTATGAGGTTTGAAGTCATGCCTCATCATATCTGCACCTCACGAAACACAATCTACGTAAAGGGCCTGTTTACTGTCTCCACTGCAGGACCCTCAGTGGAGCTGTGACAGTCTGTGGGTGGGATTAGTAGAGGGCTCGGTCCACAGTCAAATGGATAATGTGTTGTTTAGCATCCACATGTTCTGAAGGCTGGGAGTCCCTGAACGCATCACCAGCCTTAACTGCTTCATTTGGCAACTTTGAATCTTAAGTAGAAGTTTTTGTCGACACATTTATTTTGTAATTATTAGGGGTGTGATGATACGCTAAGCTCATGAGACCAGATGATATTTTAACACTATTTTTATGGAACAGTGTGACTACCAGGGGCCCCAAGAGTTTGTGTTTGTGTGTGTGTATTACTTCAGGAGTGAAAAAAGGGAGTGTTTTGAGGGATTGTTACATGTGTCTTTGAAGAGGTGCTTGAGTAAAAACGTGGCCTCCTGCCTTTGCTGTACTCAAAAACAAAGAAGCAAAAATGAAGAGACATTTCAGGGCACAAGAGGCTTTAGAAATGGCAATGAAGCCTTTATCTGCCAGTGAGCTGCAGGACTCACCTGAAGAAGATGTGGGAGGGTAGCCTGACACACTTTCAGAGGAAGGGTCAGAAGCACTAACACACTCTGTCTCGCACACACACCCACCCACATACACACACACACAAAAAAAGTCTTGGGGCCCCCTGGTAGTCACAGTGTTCCATAATATGACAAGGCAAAAACATAAGAATTTCATGCATCAGTCTACAATGTGAAAAAGGTTGAATCTGGTGAAATACAAAAAAATGTCAAATACCACTACTTTTCTTCAAAATGAAGTGCTACCATTACAGAATGCTTGGTTTTATACTGTAATGGCAGTGAGATTAAAACATGTGGTTTCATTGGAAGTCAATGGGGCATTTTGGGCAGCAAGGTGTCAGGAGGGAGCATCTGGCACTACATAAAAAAAATACTAATGCAATCAAATCAATTTTGTTGCCAATCTTGGGCATATCCAAGACTCTAATAACCACCGAAATCCCATCCTTCTACTATTATATAGAAAATAATTCTTTTTTTTTTTGCGAATTGAGATACATATTTCATAATTCAAATGAATGACTGACTGGCATTTAAAGGGTTAAAAAAATCCTGATAATGATTGAATGTTTGGGAGTTTTGAGCAAGTCTGATGTTGTTGAGATTTATAAAAAAAAGCAAAAAAAAAAAAAAAAAAAGATGTATGATGATTTAATAACAATTTTTGTGCGTGTACATTTTTGGCCACAAGGGCGTTAGGATGGTAGTACATTCGAGAAGGGTGGAAGGGTTAAATGGTGAAATATATATGACTGAAAAGCAGTCTTTTGACTGAAAGTCCCACAAACCTTGAGTCAAAGTTTGTTACTCTATGGTGTACTCTGGTCCTGAAGACAAAGCAGAGGTATCTATGATGTGAATGGAGTCTTGTTCATTTATACGAGCCTCTGCCCAGCTTGCTCCCACTGTTTGTGTCCGACTGTCGCTGTCCTCCTGTCCACAGGGGGCGCTGTGGCTGGAGCAGCTGTGCTCCTCCTACAGCCTCCACCTCCTTAGCTGCTGGCGCTTCGGAGCCTGGTCCATCCATGCCCGCGTATTACCTGGTGAAGTGGATCACCTGGAAGGAGAAGAAGACTCCCATCATCACTCAGAGTGAGAATGGACCCTGCCCCCTGCTGGCCATCATGAACACACTCTTCCTGCGCTGGAAGGTACGACACACACACACATACACACACACATACACACACACACCTGGATGGCCGATCTTTAAAACATGGTGTGGTAGTATCTGGGGTGTAACGGTTCACAGAAGTCGTGGTTTGGTTCATTTTCTGAACTGTAAGGGTAAAACAAAAGTCACAAAGTTGCTAAATGAGTAGAATTAAAAAGCAAAGCACTGTTGCAGACTCATGTGTGTGCGCTCCAGCAGCCAGGAAAAGACTGTTTCAGTGATGGAGGGGGCAGCATTTGTACTTCGCTCATCTTTTCCTCGCAGCAGTGATATTCATGTTCACGTGGTGCTGTTTCATAGGAGTTATCAGGTTTGACCTGTTGCTGCTGAGCAAACGTATGGAGTGGTGAACCGGAGCGCAGTGAGCAGTAAACAGTAAACAGCGAGACGCCTTCTCTACTTGTCTGTATTTCACCGGGAAGGTGATGCGTTCCCAAACAGGAGACCTTTGTGTTGAGGAGGGGCTTCTCGTCTCTACTGGCTGTAGCGCTCCAGTCTGCCACTTAACATTATTAATTAGTTGTTTATTAATAATATGTTTGTGCCACTTAAAATGTTCTGTTCGCAGACCAAGCCTACCATTACCTATTAAAGATTGCATTTGGTACACATCTGCAGGTACGAGCACACGTACATTCACACCTGTAGTGGTATCATTGTCCAAAATCCCACATCTTGTACCATTAACCTTCGCACAGCATCGGGACCTAGAGAAGCATCAAAAGGACGTTCTTCACTTCCTGGTCCAACACGTGCGAGGCAGCTGTTGGGTCCTGAAGAATGAAAACGTGGGTGGAGTCACCTAACAAGGTTGGGGCCAGTTACAGAGGGTTGACCAGATAACGTCCTCCAGCAGGAAACATCCTGTGATAGTCAGCACGCTTTTTATTTGGGTATCGGTTGTATACACTGAGACTTGTTGATCACTGTGATCTGAGGTTGAAGAGAGAAACTGATCAGGATAAAGGTCATTAGCTCCAGCCTTACATCAGTGCTGCTGAAATGCCTGTGCTGTTTAATGACAGCGGCCAGTTAACAATCCTGGACTGGAGCTGATGCCTTGTCAGATGTTATTTTAGTCACTGCAGCGATAGATGCTGTTAAACATGACAGAGTAAATTCAGTGTTCTTTGTTTCTTGCACTTGGTGACGATGACTTGGCACTCTGGGCTTATTTCTGGTTTCGCCTCCTGCCAGTGAAAACTCCAGCCAAGACGAAAACTCACCCAGCAGCATAAGTTGTAGGTTGTCTCAGGTTAGCGTACAGCGGGTGGTTTAGCACTGCTGCCAGCTCTGAACAGTCCACCCTGACAAACGTCAACACTGGCTGAACTAGGACTTGATTCCTCACCAGGAGACTCGTCCTCATGTTTGCTGTGTGGTGAGGTCGCTGTAGTAACTGTGTCTCTGTGTGTTCAGGCCAGACTTCCTGCTCAGACCGAGGTCGTCACCGCCGAGGATCTGATGGCTCATCTGGGTAAGATGACTGTGCTCCCGGCCAATCAGCTGCTCAGTCTGAGGGGAGTAAAGGTGACGGGGGAGTAAAGGTGATAGGGTGGACGGCTCTATGATGAGACCACACCGATTTATGCACAGAAACTTCACAAATTCAGACACCCCACCTGCAGCATGTTTGGTTCTGCTGCAGATCTAACTGTCCATGGATAAAACTGCTATTTTTGATCATCAGTTACTTGTCATTTCCTGGTTCTAGTTTAGTTTTTTGGCAAATGAAACACGACACATCTGTATTTTTAGGCCTACATTTACAAAACAAGACTACCATAAAATCCGGACTATTGAGCGCACCTGACTATAAGGCTCGCCCACTAAATTTAAGAAAAAAATAAAATTTGTACCCATATAGGCCGCACTTGTCTATAAGCCGCAGGTGTCCATGTTGTAACATGAGATATTTACACAAAGATGTTGCACAGCTTTTGTCATCTTTTTGGATTGAGTCAGTTCTTCACGCTGCCTTCTCCAACATCTCACCATCCATTCATTGATGCCAAGCTTACGTGCAGCAGCTCTATTTCCTTCTTCGACAGCCAGATCAATCGCCTTTAACTTGAAAGCTGCATCATATGCATTTCTTTGTGCGTTTTCCATGATGAGGGTGTGTGCATGAAGCGCAAAATGACTGATCTGAAGAATTTAGTGTGAGTGCATTTGATTTAATTTGAACAGTTTCATTGGTCCACTGTGAACTGTTCGGTAATTTCATTGGTCTGATGTGACGAGGCTGAATGTATTGGCAGCATGAAGCTCGTTAGCCCGTAAAAATCCATAAATTAGCTGCATTGTTGTTTATGCCGCCGGGTTCAAAGCTTGTGAAAAAAATAGCGGCTTATAGTCCGGATTTTACAGTAATCAAAACTTGCATCGCTAACAAGGACCGACTAGGTTCTGCAGTGTTTGACCAATGGTGCAGATGTTTTACCGAGAAAAGGTCAAACTCTGGTTTTTAACAGTCGACACTGGATCATCAAAAATCAGAGGATTTTTTTTTTTTTATCCCTCTCTCCTCAGCTTTACAAGAACAGTAATGACAAAACACAGTGAAGTGCTGATGCTGACGTACGTGTGTGTCTCTTGTCTAGGTGAGTGTGTGTTGTCGGTCACACCCAGAGAGAAAGCTGACGGGATGGAGCTCAACTTCCAACAGGTAGGAACACAGGCGTACACAGCCACTGAGCTGGAGCGCTGCTTGGTTCTCTGAAGGTTTAGTGGTCCTGTTGTCACTGGGCTGGATGGTTTCATCTGGGGTGTACTTTGTCAAAAGTTGTGTATTATCGTTGTTGGCAAAACGTACACTTCCACCCTGTCTGTGCCTCTGTGGACTTTGTTCAGTAAGATACCAGGGATGAGACTTTGAACATCCTGAGCTGAGATTATTTTGTCTAGCGTGAACACTGACAAACTGTGTGTGTGTGTGTGTGTGTGTGTGTGTGTGTGTTTTCAGAACATGAGTGACGCCATGGCTGTCCTTCCCAAGCTGTCCACAGGTCTGGACGTTAATGTGCGTTTCACAGGAGTGACCGATTTTGAGTACACACCAGAGTGCATCGTGTTCGACCTGTTGGATATCCCGCTGTACCACGGCTGGCTGATCGACCCACAGGTACACCCCTGCCTGTGGAAATGCATGTTAGAGGATGCTGCCGCCATTATTCTTCTTGTCAACAAGTCTGCAGACCCGGGCCGACAGCGTGTGAGCTCCCAGTACACAATGGGGGTTCCAAGCCTTTAGAGTTGACATTTTTGTTAAGAAAGTCGAGATGGTGTTGATTAGCCATTGATGATGACAATAAAAAAAGATTGTGTGCTCTACTTGAACAAGTTCTCAGTGTCGCTGCACTCCCAATCCACCAGTTGGCAGTAGCAAGCAAACTGCTGCTTGGTGCACCAGACGAAGGGCAGAAGGACGAACTACACTGGGACAAGCCAGACAAAGCTGGCAGTTGTGAAGAGGGTTAACATCCAATCTGAAAGATTCACCTGTGTGTGTACGCAGAGTCCAGAGACGGAAAAAGAAACTGAGCTACAACCAGCTGGTAGAGAAAATCATCGACTACAAACACTCCGTTGACAGCAGCCAAGTCAGCGAAGGTAACACACACACACACACACACACGCACACACACCCTGACATGCACTACTACAGTCATGGTACAGAGAAAGTACAGCCTCCTTCAGTTCTATTTTTCTTCATCAGGAGCTAAAAACAGTTTGTCCTCAGCAGCCTCTATAAATAAACAAACAAAACCTCAGGTGACAACAGAAACAATAGATTCCAGTATGTGGTCAAACCAACTTTCAGGAACCTAAAACTAAAGAAAACAAACTAAGGCCAGCTCAGATTTTACTAAAAGACTAAACTCAGAACCTCAGGAGCCAAAGCGAACACAGGTGTGCGTGCCTGCTAATCTGTCTTCGTCACGTGTGTGTCAGGTCTGGTGGCGGAGCAGTTCCTGGAGTCGACCGCCACCCAGCTGTCGTATCACGGCCTCTGTGAACTCAACACAACGGCCAAAGAGGGCGAGATTTCGGTGTTCTTCAGAAACAACCACTTCAGTACCATGATCAAACACAAGGTGGACACACACACACACACACACACACACACGCACATTCCTTTACCCTGTCCCGACCTAAACCTGATTCTAACACCACCCTAATACATGATCCTTTACCCTAAAACCAGGACAGCGTGTCCTCACAGTGATTGGACCCAGACACTTCTCCGTGGTGATGGCACTGGTCTCAAACATGCTCCCACTGTGACTGCACTGGTCTCAGACACGTCCCCACAGACACCTATGTACACAGTGACAGGGTCTGTCGAGGTGCTTGACTGGTTTGATCTCCACTAGGCCAATTTCTGTTGGTGCCCATTCAGACCTCAAAGGGTTCAGGTTGAGGCCTCGTGCTCTGTTCTGTACATACAGCATGGTTTCCTGTCTGTCTGTCCTGAGGAGGGATCCTTCTCCTCCTCTTCTTGAGGTTTCTTGCCTTTTTCTTCTGTGTAAGAAAAACAACCTGCCTGCTATTAAAGGCTCCTCTGCCCCTGCAGGGCCACCTGTACCTGCTGGTGACAGACCAGGGCTTCCTGCAGGAGGAGGGCTTGGTCTGGGAATCTCTTCACAACGTCGAGGGTGACGGAAACTTCTGTGACTCCGACTTCAGACTGTGTCATCCTCCCCAGAGAGCTCCGCCTGCCTCCACCCTACCCCCCACCATCCAGGAGCAGCAGAGACAGATTGACCAGGTGAGACAGACAGGCTGACCAGGTGAGACAGACAGAGCAGAGTGTCAGCTGACTGAGTCACTGACTGGTCTTGTTGTTGGTATCAGGACTACCTGGTGGCGGTGTCCCTGCAGCAACAGCAGCAGGGAGAGGCCCCGGGGCCCATCAGTGACCTGGAGCTGGCCCGACAGCTGCAGCAGGAGGAATACCAGCAGCAGCAGCAGCAGCAGCAGGGATCAGTGCAGACACCACCACAGGTAACAGGCAGAGACCCAGTGTATCTCCTCTGAGCCAGACGAGGCCAGCGGATGTGGCTCCCTGGGTTGTAGTTGATGGCTGGTGGACGATGGTGGCGGCCTATTGCACAGACCTCAGGACTCATCATGTTCTGTGTGTTGTTGTTGTTGTTTCCAGGTGAGAGGTCAGGGGTCACAGCAGGCCAGGAGAAGAGACAAGGACTCAGACTGTGCCCTCCTATAGATTCTTCTTCATTGTCGTCATCATCATGTGTAACAGCACCAGACTCCCCGAGTAGAGCCTGCCTGCAGCGTGGACATCACACTGTCAGCTCGATGCCCGACCCCAGTGCTTTGTCCAGCAGGTGACAATCCGGGATTCCAGGCTTTGGAAATGGATTGTGGTAGAAGAGACAGGTCCTGCCAGAGAGAGACGTTTCACATGGGTGGACATTTATGGAGAAGCTTCTGATCAGGCCCAACTGGAAAGAACATATCGTAACCCAGCAGTTTGGGAGGAAACTCGACAGAACGCACACACCCCACAGCCCAGGGCCTATCAGCAGCCGCTTCTACTGACCCCAGTGGAAAATGTTTCATCCTGGTACTAAATGGTTGTCTCCAACAAAAACCAGGAACAGTTGTAACCTTTGATCTCCTGGATTTAACGCTATGTTGAATAAAACGGTTTGCTGACCGGTTTCTTAAAACCTTCTCATGCCTCTGCGCGTTGTTAGC